AAATTTCGTTACCGTTACCCAAAAAATGTAACTCGTTACCGTTACAGTTACCAAAAAAAGAAAGTAACGCAGTTACCAGTAAAGTTACCAAAAAAGTAACTTGTAACTGTAACTTCGTTACAAGTAACGAGTTACTTCCATTCCCTGCCAGTATCTTTATCAGTATCAAGCCCATCTGTATCTTCCGCTCTTGGAAGCATCTGTCTAGCTTTTTTATATGAATCTAAAGACAACAAAACAAGCGACAAATGTTGAAACAGGGAACATGCTGACAGTATCGTACTTTTGAATTCAGGATATAAACTCACCATAAGTTCTTCGCAATTTACATGGATGACTCTTCCATGTATTGGAATCTGGATCAAGATATGCTTTCGTAGCTCTGGCTTCATCTTTGGAATTTTTTGGGCATATAACCATATCATCTATAATCCACTTTGTTGGAACAACTGAGGTAATTACTTGTCCCTCCTCATCTTGAGTTTCAATAATACTGTACGATTTTATCTGAAATACAATAAATATGATTGAATTATTTTCCTATTGGAAAAGTATATACTATTATTATGCTATATATACCATATATACTATTATTATTATTATATACGATTAGTATGCTCATATATATAAATTATTATTATAATATACTTGTTTAACAAAAATGTTATTTATAACAAGCAAGTAAAATGGCTCTAACCAGTGTTTGGCTACAACAATATTTTCATGTACAATTTAATCACGTTCCAAAAAAAGAATCCACTCACCTCCTCCCCTTAAGGACTCATTCACTTATGGAAGAATGAGGAAATATTACAAAAGATGAAGCAGAGGGAAAACTGCATATTCCAATTCCCCATAAGGAAGACAAACACATTTAAAGAGGACATCCGAAAGATAATAAACAATTAAATTGTCATCAAGATTACTGACAACACAAATTCCCAGGTCACTAGATGGCAAGGGATAATCATACAAATTTGTAGCATTTCTAAAAATTTGCACTATAATTTTCAAGCAATTAGTACCTCTAGTACTGACGATGTTTCTGATAAGCCCGAACCTTCCATCTTTCAGGCGAATACAATTATTTGATTCAATTATAGTCAATGTGTATAACTCATGTTCATATTTTTTATACTGATATATGATTGGAATTGTATCGACTGTTGGGCCATTTGTATGCTTATACATAACACCTCTTGCTTGATTTTGAATACGAATTAGCACTGAAATTCATGACATTTCCAAATCTCTTCACATCAGAAATCAGATGCAATAACATATGAACGTTATACACAACAAAGCCTTTTCCAAAAACCTTAGCACTGTACTGTACAAACATATCAATGAAATTGCTTGCATCAGTCAGATGAGTTTCAATCAGGGTATCATTGTACAAAATATACATCGCAGCGTGAAAGAGCAAATATAATTTGTAAACTTCTTCTCTCAATACAAATTTGAGTACCACAACACCCAAATACAACATCATCAGTCTGAATTCTGTTCCTTTCCACTGAGAAAAGCGTCTCAAACTAGGCTTTCTTGAAAATTCAACTGGAATATAGTCTGCAAGATTGGAAAGTAAAGTTGACAAAGTCTCAATTTCTTGTCCGTTCATGCGAGCTATAACTGGGCCTCTAGCAATTACAAATTCTAAAAACCTCTTCATAATTCCTATTTCTATTAAATGAAAACTATCCATGGGAAATTGTGAAATAAATTTCACTTGTAGCTCAATAAGTGGCGATTCTCCTGTGTGATGTTCTGGGTCTCTTCGGCTATCAAATGACTCATCAGTCCTTTCTATCCCAGTTGTAATAGAATAATAAACAAAACCATCGTAACCTCCTTCTTGATCACATCTTTCACATCCATCAAGTGAGGTAGAACCTTTTATACACTTCAAGTAAGCACGGGCATCGCCCAAATAATACCTAATGTCGACATCAAAATGCCTGGTTTGAAGTATGATACCTTCTTGTCTAAGTTCTTTAACCTCTTGAACAAAATTACTTAAATAATCTTTAATCGGTTTTGGCTTTCCCAATCCATGAAATATCCCGACAACAAATGGCTTAGAATCCACAAAATCTTTGCATCGGGCCAGAATAGGCCAACACTCTTCGGAAACATTTCTATGAACTTTCACACCATCAACAAAAACATCTACCAAAATTTTATCACAATTTTGGATGCCATACTTCAGTTTTGACATAATACCGTATCTTAGGTCTACATGAGAATATTCCCCATTAGAAAGTACAATAACTCTAGTTTTCCTTGGAGTTTTTTTCAGAGATCTTGAATCGTTAGGCAGTTCTGGATGAAAAGGTTTTAAAATGCTAAGCAATTTATTGATAGCCACATTGGTAATATTATATTTATTGCTCCATACTTGCAAATGTTTTCTTAATGAATGATCATCATCATATTCGCTTTCATCAATATCATATAAGGATCCATCACTTGCAGAGTTATTATGATCTATGTCATCAACGTACTGAGTAGGAACATCTGATGGATCAGTCGTCAATTCCTCGAGAAGAAAATTATGAAGACAATTAAAGTTGTCAAGAGGCAAGGCAACGGGCAGATTGGCAGTGTTATTATGATTTATATCATCAACATGTTGAGTAGAAACATCTGGTGGATCAGGAATCAATTCCTAGAGAAGAAAGTTATCAAGACGATTCAAGTTATCAAGAGGCAAGGCACGGAGCAGATCGATAGACAGATTTCTAGGCAGCTCAGCTTCAAGCCGAACATGCGCTTGAGCTCTTACAGTATTATTTTCATTCTCAACAATTTCCTCTTCTTGTGATGCACTGAGGAGTTCCTTCAATATACTTCGAGCAGCAGCTGCTGCTTTATGCTTATAGTCCGGGAGGCAGCGACAGAAAAATGTGACTTATTTCGCCAAACTTAATAATTATTTTACCAAATGTACTTGTGATGAGAACTTTAACTGTCAAAGTCTTCCACGGTATGGACACGACGGGGCATAATGGGACGGTTTGAAAATCCGCAAAAATTTGGAAAAAAAAACTCATACCGCCAAGCGTAAAATTTTTTTCTGTGATTATTTATAATGTAAACATAAAAATAAAACTCGTCTTCCATGTAGCAAACACAACGTACTACGTCTTCCATCCATATGAACACCTCAAAAAAAGGGAAAAATGGATTTATTCCGCCAAAGCTGAAACTTCGTTAGTGCATAGTTCATTTTATGTACAAATGAAAATTCATAGTCTTCCAAGTATCAGGTACAACAATAGTCGTC